GGCTGAGAGAGCGCGAGGGCGAGGGCGAGGGCAGGGGCGGGGCACGTGCGTAGGGTGGAGGCGCGGGCAAGAGGCGCCGGCGAGCGCGAGCGTGTGCGGAGTGTGGGTCAGTTTTGACAATGCGCGGCCGTTGGGGTGGCTCCAATGGGGCAGGAGCAGCTGGGTCGCGTCTGGCACACCGATACACTGAACAATGTGATGCTTGGCAGCGCTAGGAGGCTGCTGCGGGAACGGCTAACAAGGCGATCAAATAGAGCCAAGCCCACCACCACAAAACGATGTGCCCTCATGTGCACCACAACACACACACACACACACACACGCGCGCGCGCGCGCACATGCAAGCCGTCGCGGCGCACAATCGCAGCCAACCTTATGCTCAAGCAATTAGACGCACAGCCCCCCACGCACACACATGCGCGCACACGCACCATGAGACTGCGACGCCAGTTGAGCCGTCGTTCTCAAGGGACAGCCCGCCGCCTGTGACGAGCACTGCGCCGCCAGTCTGCTCCAGGTCAGCCTCGGCCGCCTGCACCGCGGCCACCAGCCCCGTGACCGTGGCGAGGAAGTTTGCGGTGAAGATCTCGGGCTCCCCCTCCAGCGAACTCACCGGCTGACCGTCTGCAAGATGCGGGGGTTGAGATTATTGTTCGTGAGTTCCTGAGCAGGGGCGGCATGAGCAAGTCGAGCCTGCGTTGGTTCAAGCCTCGCTTGTAGGTGAGCGTGTGAAGGGCGAGCTTGGGGTGTTGTGTTGTAGGCTGGTGAGCAACGTGCGCCGGGGGCTGTGGCCAGCCTGCCGCCGGGCTGGCGAGGCGCCTGCGGCACCAGGGCAAACTCGTCTGTCCCTGCCGCCCTGTGCTGGTCATACGCCCATGCACAGGCCCATCTGCACAGCGCATGTATGTCCCTGTACGTTGCTCTCACATGGGTTCCAGAAGAGGGCGCCCACGGGCCCCAGCTCTGCACTGGCCTTGGCGATGGAGGCGGCGACGGCCTTTGCATCAGTCAGGTCTGTGGGGTACGCGGCCGCCTTGATGCCTTGGGCCTCCAGGTCTAGTGGTTTGTGTGGGGATGGGGTGGGGTGATGATTACAGCGCGATGACGTCATGTGAGGGGGCCATGGGATGGAGATGATGCAGTATGGGGGCATAGGGGACAGCGAGAGGGGATAAGTCGGGTATGACATGTTGGAAGCAACGGTGCGCCTGCCCTTGTGCGCCCTTGAACGGTGGTGGTGAGGGCGGAGCTGCAGATGACATGAGGGCAGAGCAAACGGGGCGGGTGCGCGTGACGGCGCGTTCTCGCGCACCCTTGACGCCCGCTTCCAGCTTCGCCGCCGTGCGGGACAGCAGCGCGACCGAGTAGCCCTGACTGCCAAAGTTGCGGGCTACGGAGGTGGAGATGCCCGGGCCAAAGCCGGCGACAATGAGGGTCTTTGCCATGGTTGCGTTGCCTGGGGATGCGTGCTGCTCGTGCTAAGGGCGCGATGCGGGAGTGCAGGAGGCTCGAGTGTAAAGTACTGCGTGCAAAGTGGCAGCTAAACTGCGGTCGGAATCTTATATACGCTTGTCTGATATGGGCGCTAGAGATCGTAAACGGTGTTCACCGCGGGATGATGAAACCGTACCCCCTGGATGTCACGAGGGTCATCAAGATATGAAAGCGCAAACGCCCACTTTTTTGGGCAGCATTGCACGGAAGGGCAAAACAAGTGCAGTGTGCTGCATCTCGGGCACTACAGCAGTGGGTGCCGGGCTGGTGGGATGGCGACTAGGCCAAAGCAGACGGCGTCGCTGCAGAACGTAAGCAGCCGGTTCCGCACGGTGGGCGGCTTGCAGCAAAGAAGGCCCGCGTGTCCCCCAGCCACGTGGCGCAGCAGGAGCTGAACCCAATTAATAGCTGGACAGGTCAAGCGCGTGCCAGGACAAGCTCAAGGGCGGGGCCAGCAGGGGAACAGCCCTACCTGACGGAAGACTGTGCAATGCAGAACAGAACCAGAGATGCGCGCGCAGCAACATCACGCGCCAGAGCTGTTGCCACATCCACACTTGTTGCAACCACACGCCACCGCAACATGCACAAAGGTGCAAAAAGGGGCCACGCCGACAGCGGCGGCGTCAGACCGTTGACGTGGCGTCGATCTGAAAGAGCCAGATCACCAGATCACGCGCCGATGGCGGACCACCACACCTTGGGGTCGCGCGCCGCCAGCAGCTCGGCGAAGCGCGCGGCCACCGCGTCGGCGGTCAGGGTCGCCGTGTCGTCGGCAAATTCGGTGCCTTTGACCGCAGCGTTGACCGTGATCTCAAAGACGTACACGCCCTCAGCGCCCAGGCGCTGGTGAAGGATGTGGACGAGCTTGCGCTGCGCCGCCTTGGCAACAGCCAGAGAATCGGAGTCCCTTTGTGGTGAGAGGGGTGGGATGGAGGAGTCGGGGTGGCTCCAAGCGCGGTTCAAAGCCCGAGCAGCGGCGAATTCGAGCGCGCATCAACGCTCGAGGTGGCTGGCAAGGGGCCCGCGGTTGGGCGGCACTAGCCGGCTGTTTATTCATCACACCGCGGCCGAAGCCTGACCCTAAATCCGAAATCCAGGGAATAACGCTGGGCCCATCACGGCGGTCGCTGCTGTGGCGCCGAACGAACTGCTATCCTCCGCTACACTGGTTGCCCCGCAGTGTGCAGGCACCCGGCAACTCATGCAAGCACGCTGCACAGCATGCAGCACGACTGCTCACGAGCGCTGACTAATGCATGCACGCACATATATATGCACGCACAGGCATGCTCACGCCTGCACTCGTGCCCGCACGCGCAAACGCATGCACGCACCACTGAACGGCGATTTTTGTGGCTTCGTCGCTCTCGAGGGCGAACCCGCCGCCTGCGACAAGCACCGCGCCGCCGGCTGCAACCAGATCTGCCTTGGCCGCCTGCACCGCGGCCACCAGCCCGGCGGCCGCCATCTGAAACACCGCCGTGAAAGCCTCCGGCTGCCCAGACAGAACCGTCCTCCCGGGCTGGCCGCCTTTGGAGCGGGAAGCGCAGGTCGAAGGCGGGCAGTGGGGTTGCGATGAGGTGCAGGCCCTTGCAGATGAGGGGCTGGTTGTAACGGGCGCTGCCAGGCTCAAAGAATTTGCAAGCCTGGCGTGAGGATGCGGCCATGATCCAGGCTCGCCTGAACCCATAAATGGCAGGGCTGCCGCTCGTCGCGGCCGCCGGCGCGGCAAGCCGCTCGTCACTGTGGGATGATGCTCGCTTGTAACACATGCGGCCCCCTACAGGCCTGCCCCCGCCTGCAAGTTATTGTGGGTGTGCTTGTAATCAGCCGCGGTGCAGCCGCTGGCCTACTATTCCATGAGACTCACTTGGGCTGTAAAACAGCAGGCCCACGGGACCCAGCTCCGCGCTGGCCTTGGCGATGGCGGCGGAGACTGCCTTCGCATCAGTCAGGTCTGTGGGGTACGCGGCCGCCTTGATGCCTTGGGCCTCCAGGTCTGGTGGCAGGGTTGATCGCGATTTGAATGTCTTGGATGAAACGGATACTTGAAAGTGACCTATGAGGATAGCAATCCGGCTTGCAGTGGTGTGGAGCTAGGCGGCCGCGCCCTCACATCACAGTACTGCCAAGCGGGACCCGATGTGAGAGAGCAGCGCCCACCCTTGACGCCGGCGTCGAGTTTTGCTGGTGTGCGGGATAGCAGCGCCACCGAGTAGCCCTGCCTTCCAAAGGTGCGCGCGACGGCGGCGGAGATGCCGGAACCAAAACCCGCAACCACGATGGTCTGTGCCATGTGTGCTTTGTTGCTGCTGCAAGTGCGGCGGGCCGTTTTCCAGGAGGAAGCTGGACTCTGCGTGATGCGTAATGACCCAAAACCGCAGATTGGTTCGTGGTTTGCTCGTACGCGGGTCACGCTGTTCGCGAGAAGAAAAGAGCCGACGTTCCGGTGAGATGAACCACGACTCCCTCGATGATGTCACTCTGTTGCTGCGATGTGTACATGTACAGAGGCGCCGAAGGCGTTGCTCGCTTACTGTGTACCGCAGCTGGCTGGACAGACATCCAGATGGTCCGATATGCGGTGTGGGAGGGGGCGCGTGTTGGGCAGGGGTACATGCGCAGCTGTCTATCTTGTCTAGGTCCGGGGAGGGGGGGCCGCAGGCGCGGGCCGAGTCAAGATAGCACTGTAACACACAGGCTGGTGGCTGCAGGAGCACACAACCACAGCAGGCAGCACACCGCCATAGCCCAGCGCTGCAGGCCAGCCGCAGCTGGCGGCGCTCGGCAGTGCACGGCATGCCCACCATGCCAAGCGCTTGCGCGCGATCGAGCTGTGGCGACGCCTCCTAAACAAGGAGATTCCCTCAATAAACGCAATTGACTGCCCTGCACTTCAGACGGATGCATGAATCGCAGCAGATCTTTTGTGCCAAGTGCCCGAGTGGACACATTCGATCACCAGTCCCGGCAGCACAGCCACAGCCATGGCCATAGATGGGCCTCCCCGTCATCATCCACACGTGCCGAGTCGCCAGCTGCTCGGAAGTGGTGGATACCGTATCGCCACAGCAGGCTGGTCTCCTCCTTTCAGGGTCTTGCGGAGTGGTGCAGCTGGGACCCGCGGCTCCACCACGCACCGCTACGTGCTGACCGTATACAACGGGACCACCAGCACACATTCACCAGCTTCTCATGCAGGGATCCAATGTTCTCAGGAGAGCATGAGCCGCGGCCGGTATCTTTACACACCCGATCGGCGGCAAGCCCGCGTCCATGTGCACCATCAATCGCATGCCGCAGAGGGTTTTGCTGCGCCCATCGCATTGGGGTGGGGTGCAGTGGCGGACTCGCTTCAGGCCCTGACAGGTCAAAGCGCAGTCAAAGTGCTCTCCGGTCGATTCAAGCGCTCGCTACTCAAGTAACAATACAACCGACGACTCTTCTTTCAATACTGTCGACACGCAATTTCAAACACCACCATGGGTTTTGTCTGCCTGCCTGCTGCGGGGCCTCATATCTTGACAAGCCCGGCCCCTCTACAAATGTATGTTCCTTGCAACAGTTCGCGGATGCCAGACGTCTCCCTGGTCAGGCCTGCTGCTGCCTCCACCACCAGAGCCGCCACAGCACCCCGTGCCGCTCCTTGAGCTGCGTAAGCCTCTCCGCGTCCTCCTCCCTCAGCACGTCGGCCACTGCTTTGGGCCGCCCGAGCCGCTCCTGCCCCAGCGCCTCGTACACCTCAGCGCACCCCCGCCGCTGCCGCGCCTCCGGCAGCTGCTCGGGCGCGAGCTGCGCGCCGGGGGGCGCGACGTACTGCGGGGGCGGCCGCGTGATGCCGGCGGCCTTCAGGGTTTTGTGAAGGGGGTAGAGCCAGACGTGCTGCACTCCAGGATAGCAGAAGTGGCTGCGAGGGCGGCGGTCCAGGGTTCAAGTTAGAGGGCAGGTCGGGTTTGAGTTGAGGGTTGGGGCCACGTGGACGGCTTCAGAGACAGCCGGCATGCTTGATAGCCCCCAGGCTCGTGTTACGAGAGTATGATGTGGCTGCAGGCGAAGACTTTGCTCAGCGACCACCAGGAGGTGAAGAATTGTTCTCTCGACCCCAGAAGAAGACAGAACGCGCCCTGGCCCCTCCACACCCCGCCCCGAGGCTGAGCAGTTGTCCACCCCAAAAGCCGCACTCCAGCAGCCCTCGCTTTGTGTCCTCCACCCCGGCCCCGACCTCAGACACCGCGGCACGCCAAGCGCCGGCCCCTCACCTGCACTCGAGCCCGAACACGTTGTGGCTGTGGACGTTCCAGAAGTGCACTGAAGCGTTGTACGTCGCCACCAGCCGCATCCCAAAGCGGTCGCGCAGCACCTCCCGCACCGCGCGGTTGCGCCATGTTCCGCTGACCACCTGCGGGACGGGATGTCATTGTAACGTCATGGAGCTCCTCTTCACCAGTCCGCGCTCGCGCTGCCCGCGCCGGGCAGCGAGCACCATACACTGGATGAGCTGCGCTTGGGCAAGCTCCCGTGTCCGCTCCTGCAGGCTCGTTGCAACGCACAAGCAGGGTGTTTGTGGCTGCCTCTCTGCAGGCTACGGCTCCATCCGGGGCCGCCGCGCTGCGGTGCTCTGCTCAGCAACCAGAGGGGGGCGAAAGGGATGCAGAAGTGAGTTTATCATCGTACCTCCTCAGCCGCTTCGTCGCCAGGCACGGCCTCCAGGGTACCGTCTGGCAGGTATGTAACATTTGGCTGCAATTAGGCGGGTGCAATTGGGCAACAAAGAGTGGTCGTTTGCAATTGGCAGAGGAGCAGAGGCAAGGTGGATGGCAAGGGGAGGAGGAGGAGACGGAATGTGAATGGAGAGGGGCGGAGAGTGGGGCTTGCGGACTGGGCAAGGGTTTGGGGGGATTAGGGTGTGTGGAGCAGGACGTGGGTATCCCGGTGGTGTTGCGGGGGTGCGAGGACGACGGCGCAGCCTGCAGTGCGCTGCAGGTGCTGGCTGACAGACTCAACATTCCTGGCCCTGCTGTGACATGCGACAGGAACGTGATGGGCACACCCTAACAAAGTGGACGCGGCCCTCTCATACATGCATTTGCATATGCACCCATTCCCAATCAACCACACAAACGTCATAATTGCACAAATGTGCAAGGGTTTCGGCTCTCACTATGGCTTGGCAGGTGAAGTTGGACAGGGCTTTTCCCTGCTCTCTGAGCCACCACGCCTTGAAGTCACCAGTGGGTGTCTCAAAGTGCTGCGGAGTTTCAGATCGACATGGTTTGGGGCCAAGATTGAGTGGCGGAGGGGCGGGCGCTGCAGCAACGTCTGCAGCCGTGTGTGCGGCCCCAAAGTGGGGGGGTGTTTCTCGCGGGGAGGGGCAAAAGGAACACCACTAGGCACAGTGCGGGGCCTGATCAGGGCCCAATTTCACCTGCTTGGGGGTTTCCATAAAGAACATGTTGGGAAACCTGGGGAAGGGGGGTGCGAGATTAGGGGGAGCGGCTGCGCAGCGCCCAGCTTGAGGTGCACCCCGGTGCCAGGGACCTGCCCACGAAGCCTTTTTCGAGGCCGGCGCCCACGCAAGGGCCAAGGGCGCGCCGCATGCCGCGCGCTAGGCACTGCGCGTTCTCAGCCGCCCCAGCGCCGACGCGCCCGTGCTCCAGCGGCTGCTCACCACTTCTTTGTGGCCGCATAGTAATGTCCCAGCTCTTCCAAATGTTGCCGGTACCCCTCTTTGTCAGAGTCGGAGTGCCACTGGGGTTTTTGCGATGGGTCATACAAGGGTCCGCCGGCGTGTGATGACGTGTCGATGAAGTCATGCAGTGCTGGGTCCCGCTTGAGCGGCAAGCAGCCGGTGCCATCAGGGGGCAGCGCTCTTTGCGCTCGTGGAATGGGGTGCAGGCACAGAAGGGCGCTGTCACCTCAATTCTGCAAGCCCTGCGGTCCAAGCCGGGCAAGCCAGCCCTTCAACCCTGCGCATGATATCTAATTGTGAAGCCCTCACCAGGCCGTTGTTGATCAGGAAGATGTCCTCCTTCAGAGCCAGGTGCTTGTGCAGCAGCGGCAGCACGGGCACGGACGTCCTGCTGGCGTTGACCAGCAGGTGTCCTTTGACCGCCGTGATCTGGGAGGGGGGGGGGGGCGGGGGCAGGGTTGAGCATTGAACCTTGATAGACTCATCCTATGACATGGCTGTTGCATGTGTGCTCGTGTGCGCGTGGTGGGAGCTAACCAGGGATCAAAACAGGGACTCAAGATGGGGCTCAGGAGGGAGGGTGGGGCTGCCAACGAGCGAAACCTGTGAGGGCGGTAGGGGAGCTGGCGATCGTACCCGGCAGTGCAGCAGACGAGGCCGCACGGCCGCGCTGCCTTCCATCTGGGGCGACAGATATTTCAAGCCTGTCACTGCCCCCCTTTGCGCTCCCCATCAGCAGGGGCGGCCCAGGCAAAACGCATCACAGCCCGCCCACCGTACAGACGCGCGCGCCGTGCGCCAGGTGCGCGCAGCTCGGCCCACCCCGCTCGGTGCTCGAGTGCGGCAGGCGGCCGAGCGACGTCATTGCGGTGTAGTTGTTAGTAATGGTGTACTCCAGAAGGTCTGGCCAGAGCTCTATGAGAAAGCACCTGACGGCCCGGCTGATGGCCTTGCTCTGGGAGTCCCTGCAGCGCGCGGCGGCAAAGTTGCAGGGTTTGCGTGGATGGTAACGATGAGAAGCTGCATTGGATGGGCCATAGACAATGGATCGGATTGGATGGGACGAAATCGTTGAAGTGTCATCAACAGGCCGCACACTGCTGCTCTGCCACAGATGCCGGCCAAGGGGTGGCGTGGATAGCTGAATGCAGCCTGGTGCTGTCGGCCCCGGCCCCCCGTCCAGGCCACTTGGTCAGCTTTGGCGCAAGCGGCCCCAGCGCTGCCCCTTGTCCACACTTGCTGCCTGCCGAGCCGAGCGCCCCGACCGCGGCTGCCGCTGCTGGCCTGCCATAGCCCCAACACCAAACGCACGGCGACCTGCCGCCAGAGTGACCCCGGCCACAAAAAAACAACAACCAGCTAGTGCATCAAGGCGCACCCGATAATCCAGAGTGTTCGGCCCCGCAAGTGCTGGAACAGGTCACACGGCGTCATCCTCAGCGCCTCCCTGACGTCCTTGTGCCTTCCAACCTCGTCGATTATCCTCGTGATCTGGTCTGGGGAGCACTGCGCGAGGTCCCAGCCATTGACGATGCCTGTCTTGCGCCGGCCGCACCAAGTGGGCCAAAGGCTGCCCCGCTTGCAGTTGACGCAGGGGCGCCCGCCGGGCCCGGCTTCACTATTGCGGTACGCGCCATCGAACAGCCAAGGCACCACAGCGCCGTCCGCAATCTGGCGCCAAGAATGGCGCTCGTACGAGACCGGGCACGTCGGGCCGTCCGCGGACATTGGCGCCGATAGGCGGTCCGTGATCCGCTGCGCGCGCTGCTCGGCGGCGTCTGAGTACGCGCCGCCGCCCCCGCTCGCCGCTGGCCCTGGTGTGGCGCTGTGAATGGCGGCGGCGAAGAGCAGGAGCGCCACCACCGCCAGCGCGCTGGCCAGGCGCGCGGGGCGCGCGACAGCCCAGGACGCCCAGGACTGAGGCGCCGCCGCGACAGCCGCCGCTGCCGCCGCGGCCGCCACGGACGCGGCGGCCATGCCGCCGCGACGGTCACCGGGCTTGCCGTGCAGCAAGCCGCGGGGCGTCCCCATCGGTGGCCGGGTTACACGGCTGCGAATGGCGGCGTTCAGGGGTCGGAAGGATGGCTGGGGCAAGTTCATTGCGAACATTCGGCAGGAACAGGCCGATTGACGCCGCGTCATAATGCATTTCCAGTGGGACCGCCCATGTGCGGGGTTTGGGGAGGAAGCAGCGAGCGGCGCGGCGGTGCAGCGCCCGCCACCCTGGTCCTGCACGCGCCTTTTGCCCGCAGACCACCCAAGAAGCAAATCAAAGGTTGCATCATTCACCTGGCATCGCAAAAGATGGGCTTGGGGCTCCGTCCGCTGCCGAGTGCGTCGCTGTGGCGCGGGTGATTTCACCCTCGCATGGCCACCAGTGTAGTGGACCGAAGTTCTCGTACGATTGATGCAGCTCTAGTCTAGCACGCCGGGTGTACGCCCATTTGTGCTCTGTGTACCGCACGTCGACCACAGATGCGAGAGTCGCTTGGTCACCCGCCGCCGCGCCAACTCGCAGCTGCGCTTGGCACTATGCAGCCCTGCTCATTGCCGACACCGAGCTGCAGTTCGATGGGCGCCCGATCAATGTTGCGGATATATGAGGGAGCTACTTGCTTCCCCTGCTCGTTCCTGCCTCTCCAGCCGTTGGTCAAACATGACAGACATGGACGGCCCCCGTCGACCCTACCGCGCAACCGTTGCTTGTTCATCCTCCCTGCCCCACTG